TAAAAAGTGGATAGAAGAAAATACCAAGTATAGCCACACGATGTGGTTTAATTTCACTTAAGCTATTTATAGAATGAAACATTTTTTAAAAAGCGAGTTGGCATTTTATTTTTTAAAAACTGCATGGTATAATATCGGGCAGTATTTCAGTATTATTGCTTCTTGCATAATTAAGTTTTATTTATTAGGCTCTTCTGCAAGGATTTATAGCTAAATAGCAGAAGACAACTAAATAATAACAGAAAATAAAGTGCATGAAAATAGTTCACTGTCAGGCTAACAAACGAAAGAAATTATTAGTTTTACGTATCTATATTTAAGGAACTTCTAGAAAAATTCCTTCACAATAAAAATAGATGCTTTTCTTCCCAGGCTGCCAACATTTAGGAAAATCTCTGGTCTGTAGCGCGACTCCAGTCACCTGTGACGACTCCAGCCACCTGTGACAGCCCCAGTGGGAGGGGAGCCCAGCCTGCAGGGTAGCCCTGCTCAGGACGGCTCGAGCTGCCCCCTGACCGACAGCATGAGACTGCAGCCGGAAATCACAGAGCCGCAAAGGATCACTTCCGGATACGAGCTTAGTTTCAAAGCAAGCATCACACAAAAGCTGTCTTTTTCTGCGGATGAACGCGGTTCACTCCCCTCACTTGTGAACTGAACACGGGGTCTCCCGCTAGCCCTGCTCTCCTGGTTCCACATCGACCCGTCTTGGGCAGCATTTGTTCCCAGAGCACATGCCTTGCTCCAGCTAATGCCAGCTCCCCGAGGCCGGGTGAGCGCGCCCTAATCTGACGCTTATCCCATCTGCGCTCCTCTGAGGGATGCGGAGGGCATCTCCGCCCAGCTGCTACCAAACATGTCCCTTACAGCAACACTGTGGCTCTGTCCTGACACGGCCGTCTGCACGCGGCGGCAGAGCCCCGGGAGAGGCCTGCCTTCTCCGCCGGCTCGCCCTCCCGCCTGTCCTTTCCTCCTTTGCTGCCGTGACAGCGGGACGATGACAGGTCGCTGCAGCAGCATCTGGGTTTCTTCCGCTTACTCTCTGTAACTGTTAATAAATTCAAACGTGTACGTATGAAATAACACTTCAGCAGCCCAGAAGCCTCGATTTGATCCTAAGGCTTATGATTCCAAACTATCCTGCATGCCTGCGTGTGTATCTTCCTGCTGTGACCGTCTTGTGTACCTACCACGTAGGCCGCGGCCAGGGTAAGGGGATAGTGCATTTTAGTTCCTACGCACGTTAGGTCCTAAGTCAGCACACATCATGCTGTTTGAGTGGGGAGAAGGGCAGACGTTAGAAAAACGTACGGCCTTTTTACCTTCGTGAATTATTCACCCTGCAGTTCATTTCCCTACTGCGCTATTAGTTTTTCCCTATTAAAATGTAAAAGCTGTTTTTCTACTGGACAATAACTCCCCCCGCCCCCAATTTGACTGCAAAAGCTGTTTGTATGTTAAGACAGTTTTTTCTGCTTTCTCGGCGGTTTTATTTTTCCCATTAGTTGAAAATGTCTGTTGGCTTCAATTAGCTGGTTATCTGCTGAAGTGTCCTAGTTTCCTGAGGGTCCTCACATCTGCACTTAACACCTGGAAGCAATTCTGTTGTTGGACGAAAGGCGAGGCCCCAATGAGATCCGTTTCCCAAACAGCTTTCTGCCAACACCGCTCTTCCTAAGACGTCGCTTCCTTGCTAGTCGGCCACCTTTCCTTTTCCAGGCTCTCACGCCTTCTCGCCTCTGGGGTTCCTGGTTTTGGTGCTGGGCCCAGGCGCCATGACTGCCCCCACACACCAGGGCAGAGTGCTCCCCTGCAGACGGTGGGGCCTGTTTGTTCTCACCAGTAGTTTTTTTCTTAAACTATTTTTCCAGTTAACCTTACCGTGATTGTGCATTTAGTTAAAATTTGTGGCAACAGATGAAATGTGAGAAAGAGAATTACTGCCTCTGTGAAAACGAAACCGCATCCTTTGGAAAGACTGGCCAGCTGCTTACAAAGCACTTGCGGAACTAGAGGGATAGGTGATCATAAAGGCCTCGACGCCACACAGCCAGCCAGCAGTTTTGCTCAGGGCGCCTGTGCTCACCTCGCCCTACCAGCATGGCTGAGCTGAGGGTGCCTGTCCACGAAGGCCACGGCCCCACAGCACAGGACGCGCCGATAGCTCACTTCCATGTTTCAAGTTCAAAGATGTTTCCTGCCCGTACGCAGCGTTTTGAGACCTGTTCTAATCACACATTTCGTTTAAACAGCCAGCTATTTAGGCCCTGAGAGGTCTTCTACCGTAACGTCTCACTTCATGATCTGCTAGGGCACACCTTGCTTTATCGTGCCTCTCTTCTACATTTCCATGTCCTTGCCGGCTCTTTTCAGATAACCACAGAATGTACCCACAGATAAAAACCAATACCTTTAAGAACCTGAGTGCAGGTGCTTACATTGACTTCGGGTAGGTGTTACTCTGACAGTTCCAGCCCACGGCTCTTCCTGGAAACCAGACAGGCCAGCCAACCACCCAGGCCACCTCCCACTCTAAGACCCCTGGGTCCTGGACAGGTGCCCCACGCTCAGAGGGGGCTCTCATGGGGCTGCTCACTCTCCACCAGGCACTGCCCCCTTCCCCTCTTCACAGCCCAGTTTCACAAGGGGTCGTGCCCAGTCCCCCACCTCTACACCACCCATTCACTCCGCTCCACCTAGGGTCCCGCCCTTGAACTCCAGGACCCTAGCCTGAGCAGCACTGACCACTGCTGAGCACGGTACCATGGAGAAGCTCTGGGCCGCCCGTGTCCCACTGCCCTGCACCCGTGACTCCTCCCGCACCCAGCAGAAGCTGGACACAGGCGGGTGCCTCTGAGCAGCTCCTGCCTTGCCATGTGTTGGTGGGTTGCCTTCTATTTTTACAAAATATGAATTTTTGCTGACATTTGTAAACTGAGACATTTCACCTAAACATTCTTGCTTAGTCCCTGCCCTCTGGCACGGCCAATGCACGTCTGATGAACCACGGTTCTGTCTGCAGGCTCCACTGAGCTAGACAGGTTAGACTGAGGCTGGCCCTCAGCACAGGGCATGTGTCCTAAAATAAACCGTAACACGAGGTGCGATCCTCAAACTCCTGTCACTTTCCCAAATGTGTCGGGGAGAAGACAGATGTCAAAATAACTGCTTCATTGAGGGAAGAAGTGGTCACTAACTGCTGTCCCTGCTGGGCCACTGCCAGGTGGGGAGCATGGGTCAGGCGGGAGCCAGATGTCACAGCTCGGGCTGGCCTGTGGGAGCCAGACGTCACAGCTGAGGCTGGCCTGTGGGAGCCAGGCGTCACAGCTTGGGCTGGCCTGCGGGAGCCAGGCGTCACAGCTCGGGCTGGCCTGCAGGGTGTGTGTACACTAGCACAGAACTCTCCCACAGCTCGGCTCGGCCTGTGGGGCCCTGGGTGGGGTTCAGGAGGGACTGAGTGAGCTCCCTGGAACCTGCCCACCCCTCTGATCTTCACACCGCCATTGCTTGGCCCAGGCCACTATCACCACTCAGACCATGGGATCTGCAGAAACACCGGGTGTCACACAGCAGCCACTTTGGACCGCGCCCCCGTCAGCTTCTGTCCTCTCTGCTGCCCAGCTCTGTGGGTTTGCAGACACACCGGATCATTTCCGGCCTCAGCATATAGCTGTACGCACGCCGGTGATAAGCAGAGCGAATAATCAGGTACGGTCACTGTCCTGCATTTCGATCCCTTCCCCGACAACCATGCTTAACAGCTGAGGGAGCCAGTGGAAGCGCATGGAAACTGAGGCAGCCAGAGACATTCCAGCTCGTGAACTTTTGCCAGGACTGAAGGGGGATGGAGGCAGTGTCCTGGTCGCTGCTGAGCCCAGTTCACGTGTGTGGGCTGCTGAATAAAACCCTGCTGGGCGCGGGCCGCGGGAGGGCCCTGTGGACACCTCAGGGAGCACCCGTCTCTGACAGACAGGGGCTGGCACCTGTGCGACACCAGCTCTGCCTTGACTCGAACAAAGAAATGCAACTGACTCGACTCAATCATTTAAAGAAACCATGTAAGTTCTTTAACAGGTTTTTTAAGGACACACGCATTAAGTTCACTCAAGTAACTGATTTTCAAAGTCTAAAAATGTTAATTGAGCACATCAAAGCGATACATTACCGATGCCAGTGCTGGAAGGGACGTGCGGAAGGACATGGCTACCATTCTAACGAAGCTCGGTCCCGAATAACGAGCAGCTGGCATTTAGGAGAATTAATCTCAGGCTGACCGCCCCGTCTCTAACGGGACGTGACAAGCTTTACAGGTGGGTTCATCAGATCCGACGTCCACGTGAAGTGGGCTGGACAGCTGGGTTCCTGGGCTTTGCTAAACGGTCTCCTCTCATTCAGCATTTAACCCCTGAAGGAAATAATTTTAAAAAGACCTGACAGCGAGACCAAGGTCAAATACTTCAAATGCTTTCTTGAGAGAGCTTCAAGCTCTGCCCTCTGTGAGTCATCTGCAGTAATGAGCAAGTTCGGGGGAGGGCGTGGGGCCAGCTGAGGCGGTGCACGCCGTCTCTGGCAGATACCACACGCTCACCGGTGTCCATCCTCCCCGCTCCTAACAGAACCTGCTTCTGTCGAGGGCAGCACTGTGTCTGACCGAAAGGCCACTTCCCAGCCTCTGTGCGGGATGGGAAGATGGGGACACCGGCCCGGTCCATGAGTGAAAGGACGCCACCGGGCATAGCTTCTGGGGAGGTCCCTGAAGAGGGGCAGAGGCCCCCAGGCCCTGCTTTCTGCCCCTGCCCTTCCGCCTCGTTCTTCCTGGAATGCACAGCTGATGCTGGAGACTGACAAGAGGACGAGGCCGCAGGCTAAGGACGGCTGAACATAAAGGCCCAGGGACCTGAGCGCCTCTGGGCGCCTCTGCCAGACCTGCACCGCCTGCCCCACCCCTCTCGGGACGCCCTGCAGCGGGTGCAGCCGGAGGGGCCCAGCCAGGTACTCACAGTCAGCGGTGTATTCCGCCTGGGTGGGCTGCACGGCGGCACCGTCGGCCGCAGGTGGGGTGGGGGCGGGACTGTCGGCCTGGGCTTTGCGGACCAGCATGGCAAGGGGGTGGTCCGGGTCCACCACCTTCAAAGGCTGCGGACAGAGACAGGGCACAGTCACACGCCACTCTTCTGTGGCCAGAAGGCTCAGCTCCAGTCTAGAACACAGTGCATGCGCTTCAGGAAAACCTCGGCACACACATGCCTACACACACATGTGCACACACAGGGCCCTGACGGACTGTGGCCCAGGCTGTGAGTCCTGGAGGAGCTGAGGGTGTCACAGCCCAGGCTGTAAGTCCCGGAGGGTGGCTTCCATCTTCCTCGTAACCGCTAAGCAAAGAAACGAGTGAGCAGGACTAGATTGCTACTGACAAGTGTGAGCGGCCAAGATCACTCACAACTTGAAACTGTGTCCTTCCTTAGAGCAATGTCTGATTTATAATCACCGGCAGCTCTTTGAGCCCCATCGATTGGCTGGCATCCCCTCACAGGGTCAGCCACACCGCACGGCACTGAGCCTATGTGCCGAAGTCCCTGGGACGCCTGTGTGCATATCGCACACTGCCGCAGGAGTGTGTGAACTGCCCATATAACACCGAGCAGCTCCTTTACAGCAGGGAGAACAGGAAAATAAGCAAAATTTATATTTCTGGTAACATAAGATGTCCCTGTGAAGGGAACAGATTATTTCCAGCAGCACATACTCTGGACACCTATAAAATCCAATCTCATCACAATGGAATCTACACGATGAAACAATTTCCAAGTCTGAACCGAAACTCTACTTATTCTAATACCCCAAATGGCACACTTGTCATAAAATGAAAATAACGTGCTCGTGAATTTTATAAAATGGGATACATAAGAAATAAAGGAATGAGAGCCTCTGCCACCAAGTAAAAAACAAAAATGTAAAACAGACCTCAGTGATGATAAAATAAGATAGAGCTATTATACAAAAGAAATGCTTGCCAAGTAATTTCCCCAAACCAAATTAGCAGAAGTTTAGTTATGGCAGAAGAAACAAGGTTCAATGACAAGATAAAAACCTTCATCAGCTCTTCCAGGCGGTTACACTTCTTGGAAGCAAAGAGCGACGGGTGCAGGTAGTTCCCGTCTTCCTCGTCGTCGTCGTCCTCGTTGTCAGAGCTGACCCCGGACTCTGCAAGCAAAAGCACATTTCAAGGTTCTAGCGTTGGTGAGAGGAAAGGTACAAATCAGCTATGTAACAACTCAGAAGCGGACAAAAGCAGAGGTCTATGCAGTCATTTCCTGGTTATTTGCCCCAAACACCTCTTGGACTATTCTGGTAATCCTGCCACCCAAGTAGTTCGGTAGGAAGCCAGGTGAAAGGAAGGGCCCGCCCTCCAGCGTTTGCTAGTCCATCGCCATTACAGATCTCAAATCAAAACAAAACAAAACAAAAACCCAACAGGTATCTTACTGATTCATGAAACGTAAAGTAACAGCAATAAATGTTTTTTCTTAAAACTACAATAAACAGAGATGAGATCTGCCATAAGATACGTACAACTGATTTTGAAAATCAGGTTTCAGCTTAAGAGAAAATTCAGTGGCAGACGTACAGACTGCTGTCTCTGAATATTACTCAAAATAGAGTTAACTGGCCTTTGCAGGAAGAATCCCCAATTTAGATACTGTTATAAGAACAACAGCTTAAGGCAGAGACAATGAAATGGGCCATGTCACTTTGTGGACACGTGGCACCTAAGCTGGGCCCTGGGCACCGGGTGCGGGGCAGCCCTGCTTTCTCAGTAACGTCCCAGCCAAACGGAAGGCAAACAGCAGTTCGGACGGTTACGCTGCGACGGCACCGTCCTCGGTGACGCCTCGTCCATCCACAGAGATGCTGACTAAGATGCATTTTCTCGGCGTAGTGAGGAGAGCCGCGCGCCACGTGCTGGGCGGCAGCAGGGTCTTGCACACACTGCAGGGTCCCAGGGCAGACCCCGCGCGTGCTTCCCCGAGCGCCGCCCCGGCGCCCGCTCAGCCCACGTACTCTGTTTCTCGTCGCTCTTGCTCCCCGCCAGCACGGGGTAGCGCCCCTCCTTCATGGCCTTCTGGATGAACTTGTAGTAGGGGTTGAGGTAGTGGTCGAAGCGCAGGAAGTCGAACTGAGAGTTGCGGGCCTGCTTGGCTTTCAGCATGATCTCGAACTGCGCCCCCTGCTTGCACACGAAGTTGGCCGTGCGCTCGATGATGGCGTGCATCTTGGCTGTGGGAGGCTAGGACAGACACACACACTCTCGTTACCGGTTTTCCTCCTGCCGCTGGCCACGGACTTAAAACAGAAAACAACTCCGGCTTTTCTGTCGATCGTAAAATAAAGGGGCATTTCAATTGGGGGACTGGCCCTGTCCTGGTTACAAGACACTCCGGCTAGTTCTGAATTTCACAATATTCTGGGGGGCGAAAACTCACCTAGCGGCAGGCCTGACGGAAGGCCATCCTTTTTTGCACCAAATCAACATCTTTCCACCTAACAGGGGTCCTTAGCCTGGTTCCTATGATGGGGCTCGGGGTTGTGAGTCCTCAGAAGTCGCGCAGATAAGCGTGCTCTCCCACAGGCTTCCCACAGGTCCAAGGACCACTCCGCCTTCCTTACTCCTAGCTCGGGAAGCAGCCCCTCTGGATGTCCGAAGGAAACCACATGCTCATGCGAGGTCCTTCCTCCTGCAACTGACTCCTCACACATTCTTCCTCCCTGTGCCCCGTGAGACACGCTCGGGCTCCAGGGGCCGACATCCTCATCTGAAGGACAGAGTCCACGCTGAAGCCCATGTGAGGGTGGCCGGGCCAGAACCTGGAAGGAGGGCTGTGCCCACATCAACTGGGCGACTCCTGTGCCTTCCTTACGGCGACTCCACTACTGGGCACCACCCCGCCTCCTGGGCACGGCTCCCTTATGCCCTCCACACTGTGCCCTCAGCAGTTCCTGCCCACGCGGGGCTCGTCAGACCAGAAGCTGGAAGCCAAGAAGCTCACCACTTTTATCATCAACGAGGGGATTAACAGCAGGAAATTACATACCAATAAAGTGGGAAATCGTTCTCATTAAAAATGAGCGGTGGAGAATTCAAGATGCTTACTGCAATTTCAGAGTAGCACCCTTCATAAAATGTATAACGACTTAATTCTCAGATTTAATTCCTGAACTAACAATGTCCTTCACACTTCAGGAGGCTATATGCCCGTAATCAAAGTTATTCACTGAATCTCCAGATTACCTGGATTCCACGCTACAGGCCCATTCACCCCGCACGGAAGCATGGCTGCTGACGCAGACTTTCACCGGCTCGACTAAACAGGGAGATTAATTTTTGAAACAGCGTATTCTATTCTATACACGTGGCAATTATTAACGACCAGTTCAGACTATGATCCTTATCTACATAAAAACATCCTCCACTCCCACCCCGTAAAGGCGCACTCTGTTGACCAAACCAAGCTGTTGGTTTAGAATTTCTCACAAGTGGGCCCACTCGTGATGTGAGAGCACAGCTGCAGGCGTCCAGTGATCTGTACAAAGCGCCATGGCCGCAGGAAAACAAAGCACTGTATGGCCCTCCTTTGAGATGTGCTGCCAGAGCAGGTGGCTGTGAGATAAAAACTCCTGGCTTGGGAAAGTCTCTCTTTGCTTTACGTAAGTTTCAGATAAATCCTTTTCTGTTTGAGGACACGATTACCCCCACTAGAATATATGACCGGATGTTAAGGGTACGGCAGGTCTGAGGAGGTGCCCACATGAGTCTCCCAGGCTGCCATGATTTCTAAGGACAGTGCTTACACTTCACACAAAACCTCAGAGGTCCTGCAGCCACCAGGCTCTAATCCAAAGCCTAGTTTAGAAACCGAGAACCCCCCGACCCCAGCACCTGCTTTCTTTACCACGCGCCCCACCTGCAGCGGCCGGCAGGTGAGAGCAACCTCTGCCCAACAAGGCAGCCATGATCCATCGAAACACAAGCTGGCAATCTGAGCGTTGTCACCAAGCGAAGCTGTCTCCTACACCCTCTCCACACACGGCCTCCAAGTGCCATCTGCACAAGGACTCACAGCGCCCCAATCATAACCATGAAGAACATCCTGGGGGTACCAGAGAGGAGGGGGAGCGGCAACCAGCCACCCAGCGGGCATCCAGGACCACAGAGTCGAAACTGCTTCCCACAGAGACGTGAGAGGAACAGCATACAAAGCTCCCCACCCCAAGGCAGCAAGTCCGGCTGCTCTGAGCTTCCTCTCTCGCCTTGGGCAGACGGCGTTTCCACTTCCGCAGACCACTCATTAGTCAGCTAGTGGATCTCACTCTGGCTCAGAACGTACAGCCATTAGATATTTCACTAGGAATAAAACAAGGCAGCAAAATCTATTATACCTCTACATGCCATGTTTGCAAAAAGCTTAAAAAAACCTTCCATATCAAAAATAAATAAAATTCCACGTAGTCAGGCTTAAATAAAAGCTTTCAGCATTAAGCACAGGTTAAGGGAGCAGCCCATGTTAAACAGGTCCCTCACACAGAACTAAGTTTATTCCAGAACAAGCAGGAATCCATACAGAACAACACACAGAAAACACGCTAGTACAAGTCTTGGGAGGTCAAACCTCAGATGACATTTCCAGCTTTAACTATAGCAACCGACCAGTGGTAGAAACAGGGGGAAGCAAACATAGGCCCTAATTTCGGAAAAAGCCAAAGAAATTTTTACTCACATTTGGGAAAAAAGACAGAGAGGAGAGGATATGCAAATAAGTGAAGGAAGGGATGGGGGCGGAGGCAGGAATTAAAAGGTGACTTTGGTATCTACCTTCATCTCACAGAAAACGAAGAATACAGAGAAAACAAAGGGTGAGCACCATCCACTCACGCTGAGCTAACCCCGGCTGGGAGCAGCGAGGCGGTGGGACCAGAGGCTCTTGTATGAGCAGTTCCCAGTGCCCAGCGGTTGCGCGCACAGGACAGGTGACAGCCTAGGATACCTGCACCCAGGGCGCTGCAAACCAGCTAGGGACACCGCAAACAAAGACCCGACGCTGGTGAACATCCCTCCCAATGTGGACAAGGAACAAAACTATCTGAACGCCCCATCAACACATCAACACCCATCAATACCCATGCAGCACAGAGCTTCATGGTGACATGATGTGTCGGTTAAGAACATGAGCTTGAGCTCCTACCTGTCACTTACGAGCCCAATCCTCAGTCCCCTTCATTTGTGGGGAGTGGGGTACCAGTGGCTGTCCTATGGGGTTATTTGCATTAAATAGCATGAGGTAACAGAGACAAAAGCCCTCAGTGAGGCTTATACGATGTGGCCTTAACGTAAGAGGACGCAGCTGAAACAGTGGGACACCCACGCTCATTAGCCCCAGCGGTGCCCCCACGGTGCCCTCACCAGCTGCAGAGCACTCAGCCCAGGGGGATTCCACCCAGGTTCCTCCTGGGCGCAAGGGCAGCCTGGAGCCTGGAGCTGCCGCACGAGAGAGAAAACTGGGTGGCAGAGTGGCCACCCAGGGCAAGGAAGCATGTGTGTTTCCTTTAGAGAAAACAGGTGGGGAGGGTTTTTCTCTGCTAACTCACAGATGACGGGAAGACAGTGGACACCTATGAAGCAGGTGTGACGACACCTGGGCTCCAGCACAGGTAGTGATAACCGTGATGGAGATTAACAGGGCTGTGAAGCAGAAGCACACGTACCAGCTCCACATCCGGTGGCACATTCAGCCCCAAGGGGGCAACGAAAGGTTCCTCACTTTCCTCTGCATTTTCAGTCTCATTTTTTTCTGTATAAAAAGAAAACACAAAACTTCAGGACAACAAGCAGGAAACAAGACCAGTCGGCAGCAACACAGGGGAGCAGCGGCCGGCCCTAGCTGGTTCTTTAGCTTTTTTCTATCGCTGCTTCTAGAAACACTTTCCCATCTTCTGTTCCATTCCGCCACGTGTCAGCAAGTCCCAGAGCAGTGAGGGTGGCGCAGTGGCAGGACCATGTGCCCGGGGCCCTGGGCGAGAGCTGACTCAGTTTCCCCATCTGTACCAATGCAGTGGCAGCGTCCTTTCCCAGGCCCGGGGAGGTTTCGGGGAGACGCACGTAAGCATGCCCACCGCAGTGCTCACACTGAGCAGGCGCTCGGCACCACTCCGCTCTCTTCCTTCCCGGCCTCTCTGACCTGTGTGTGTGTAACCGGTATTGCTATGACCTCCTGCCACACTGCTGCCATCTGAGCTCCCCAGGGCGTCAGGCACAGCACAAGGCGCTCGATGCTGGTTCTCACCCCTGAATTGTAAAGTTTTACCCTGAACGTAACTGCGAGACTTCCCCACCAGGCAAACTACCTCTCCTTCACAAACAAGCAGATGTATCGTTTCCACTTCCATTTCTTCATTAACTGCTCATTTAACAAACACTTGTCTGCTATGTGTTAGACAAGGCATTACACATGATCACTTCTGAATTATAAGATACCCACATATAGCTCAATCACTCAAAGGTCACCAATTTACAAGGACCTAGGGAAAAGTACAAAAATACAAAATGGAACATTGCTAAGATTTCAAATCTTCCTAGGCTTTTCTTTCAAAAACAATAACATTAACTAAGCAAACACTAAATCCGCTGAAACAAATGTTCCCTCATACAGAACGGGCCTCTGGGAGATGGGCAATTTCAAAGGTCTCCTACAAAACCTTGTTCTTTGGGACAAGGGGGTTGTAAGCAGGTTTCCTACTTGACAACCTGGTCATTCTAACCCGATGAGACACAGGTCAACCATAAATTCTTACTACGAGGTGTGATAAAAAAATACCGTGACTGCTGCTGCCAAGTGCCATCCAACAGAAAGGTGATGCTACTTGTATTTTTCGATCTTAATGGAATTGAGAGAGCTGAGCTTGTACCCAAGACACTACTGTGAATTCTGAATATTACAAGGGCTTATTAGAGCATTTAAGAAACGATGTGCATAGAAAATGGTCTGAGAAATGGGCAGTTTCATCGTCCATCATGACAACGCTCTGAGTCACACATCGCTTCTGGTACGGCAATTTCTGTCAAATACAAACATCACAGTGTGTCCCCATCCACCTTATTTACCGGATCTGACACCGTATGACTTTAGGCTGTTCCTCAAAGTGAAAAGGATTCAGGACATCGAGGCAGCCACGACAGCGCAACTAAAGATACTCATGAAAGTGGACCTCCAGAACTGCTTCAGAAAGTGGCAAGAGCGATGGGATACGGGTGTTCAAAGCGAGGGGGCGTATTTTGAGGGTGATTAATGGCAATGTGTCTTTTACTGTAATAAACTTTTTTATTTGAACATTCACCGTATTTTATGATCAAATCTCGTAAGTATTGCTTAAAAGTGCCTTCTGCTCAGGCACCCTTGTTCTCTCCTAAGAATGTAGACTTACTACCTGAAACCCGTCATCAGCACTCATGTGCAGCTCCAGTGAGCAACTGTGCGGTGGAGCTCATGGGGCTGGACGGATTAACCGCAGGATGGAAACTTATTTAAACACTTTCCTTAGCGTTAAGGTGTCCACAAATAAAGGCGCTTGAATCCAAAGGACAGTTTGGAGTGGTGGGCGCAGATTCGCTCTGTGCTTACACATTTCTGTACCTACAGAAGATGGCTGTACTAGCACAGTATAAAAGCCAGCCATGCAATACGAACTCGGTGTCAAATCCAAATAATCATTCTCATTAAAAAAAATGGGTATGTACTAACGATGAAAAATTATGAAAATTGAAATGCAAAGAAACCAGGCTGAAAACAGTACGCTGTAGAAAGGGAGAAAAATTAAATCACACAGAAATAAAGGTGCCATCAAAACACTTCTGGATAATACCACACGGTTTTAAAACATTCAAAAATGCCAGGAAAGACAATATAGCGATTTTGAAATCAAGGAATATTTAGACATGTTGATGGCTCAGTAAAATAAAAACATATATATATATTTTTTATTTTAAAATAATGCGACATTAAAATCTGATTGTTAGTAGTATTAGGTCCCAAATGAATTTTACTAAATATGTGTGTGTGTGTGCGTGCATGTATCTATGTGTGTGTGTGGTGTTTCATTTATTAGTGTAAGTTAAACATAGAAAGTCAAGTTGTAAGTTTTACATGGGCCCAATTTCCATTAAAAAGTCAATCGGCAGAGCTAGAAAAACAGTTTTCTGTTATTTTATTCATTCTTTCCCTCAACCATTTACTTATTCAGTATTTTTATCCAACAAAACTAAAACAAATCAGCATATAAAGCAAAGGTCTGAGAATGTGATTACAGAAGAAAAACCATTATGAAACACCGAAGAGAATTTTGTTAAAGAGAAAGCACACCAAGACTTGGAAGAGAAACAAAGTCAGACGTTCTTAAAATTCAATAATCATAACCAAGTTTAATAGCACTAAACTAATCACACCGTGACAACATTCCAACACCTAGAACAGGATTGGAAGCCTCTCTGTAAAATGCCAGAGGCCACGCACTTCCGCCCTGATGGGCCACGTGGTCTCCACCCCCAGCCCTGGCTCTCCCGCGGGCATGCAAGAGCCGCAGCCACTGTGAGCAGCTGGCACGGCAGTGCTCCAGTAAAACTCGGCAGAAACACGCCAGCTGGGCTGTGGGCCAGGGTCACTGACCCCTAATCTAGAATGTTAAGGAACTAATAGTATGCAGGCACTGGCCTTCATACATGTCAGTTCTTCGCCTGTGCAATTGTGATAGCATGCATTCCTTCCTCCTGATCCAAAACACTGCGTATTGAAAGTAGGTGTAATGTGGATGGGTCAGAGACGAGACAAAATCTAAAGTCCCCAGAACCCTAACATGGGTAACTTCTCTGGGCTAAGAAACGAGCGTTCACATTTTAAACCCGCACATCTTAGTACGCTGTAACCTCTGAGGTCCAGTTAGGTCCAAAGTCAATGCGAAAGCTGTCAAGTCCCTTCATTTAGGAGGCTTTACCCCAACAGTTAAAAACACGTTTGAAAACTCTTGAGAAGCTCCCAGAATAGAGCCTGTGGCAGTGGTGCTTCTGCCCAGAGTACTGAGCGTGAGGAGGGGCACGCAGCAGGACCCTCGTCTGCCAGTCTGTCCCCACAGCCCACTGTTCTCCGCAACCACGCCCCTCACTGAAGGGGCGGGAACCCCAGGACCACGGCATCACACAGGGCAGGCAGCATTCTGTCTCAGCTTAAACCGCTGTCCTTCCATCACTTGTGAGGAGGCTTGTTATGTAATGGGAAACCCAGGGAGTCCCAAACCACAAACTCAGCGCTAAAATGAAGTCCCTGCATGATGTGATTCCAATTATTATTCTAAACACTTGAATGGGTTTCTCAAGTTCCCTTTTCTTTGACAGGATATCCTGAACCTAGTGACCCGTCCTTAAGGCTCCAATCTGTCACCATCACTGCTAATCAGTGACTGACACCATGACGCGGGCTGTAATAATGGTGCTCGCAAGGTTTACTAAAGTGACGAAGGGTATCTGCTTCTCTACACAAAGCCAGATTTTTCAGGAGCGCAGTTGTTGTTGAATTCAAAGTGCCCAGAGTTGATCCAGAAAAACATAAACTTAAAATCTTTAATCTTATGTGAATACTATTTTCAAACACGGTGGTATGTGTCTAGGTCCTCCCAAGCCTACCCAGAAGGCCTTGTGCTGTTTTCTCTTCAGTAGTAACTGACCCCACAGGACATCTGCCATGACTGCAGAAGCAGGTGAGCATGAGGGCAGTCGGTGCCTCCTCTCTCAATGCCCTGAGAACACATCGCTGCCGAGATCGACACATATATTGTCAATCCAGAAACAAAGACTCCAGAGTGAGTTTCTAGAATCCAGGTAATTTCCTGTTACCTCAACCAAAGAGGAATGAAGGAACTAGACCCAGGGCAGGTGATGACAGTCTGAACTCACTTCCCCCGTCTGTTGGCAGGTCATTCTCTAGTTTCCCACTGTTTTCCCCTGAGGAACCCCACTAGAGTCTGTGTCGCAGCGATGGTAATGGCCTTGGTGGGAACACTGCCCAGCAGGACAGTCCCCGGCCGCCCCCCTCTCACCTCTCTGTCTGGAGGGCTCCTCCTCCTCCGTGGGCTCCGACGGGTCATAATAGTCGCTGCCGTACGTGAAGCCCACTGCGTTATAGGTCCCATCCTCTGCCAGTGCTTCACTCAGCCGCTTGTATTCTTCCTCTTGAATAAAAATGAGGATTCTATTAGCAAAAGTGGAAGTTTACTGAGAAAAATGTGACAGTTCTAAAGTTGTAGCTATCAGTAAAGCATACAACACACTTTTTTCAACCTCTTTTTGAGGTTTTGAAAAATTCACACTTCACATCTACCCATATGTACTTCTGCCTGTAATCTTTACCACAGACAGCAGAATACACATCTTTTGTGGGAAATTTCTTCCTGCTGAGAAATTCGGGGATTAAAAACTGCATTAAAGATTGTTAAGGCAAAGACAAGAACATCAATTTTAGTTTATACGATACTGTTAAAGAAGAACAGTTAAAGAGTTTGGTTTTTGTTTTTTCAAATCCCAGTCTGCCCTCAAAAGCTGGGAAAACTCTTTGCAGCTCTATATAAACTATCCTGAGGTCCTCTCAGAACGCAAAGACTCCTGTTTTTCCAATCCACTGGGTACTGTCAAGATAATATCAGAAAGAGTGAGTATAAAAAAATGAATGGGAGTAAATTTTTAAATACTTAAAAAATTTTAAAGCGTTTGTTGCTGAAGTAAGTTTTTCTTGAGCAGTACCTTGCCTTGCCTCCTCCTCAAGCAAGTCCGTATGCAAGGCTAAATACCTCTCTTCATCACACAGGGTCTCTATTCGTGCCTCCTCCTCAGAGAGCTGGTAGTCTCTGTTCCAGGTGGAGTACTCAGCATCGTACTCGGACAGGTCATGCAGGTGACCGCGCCCATCGTATCTGCAATGTGAACACGCTGGTCAAAGGAGAAAAGTTCACGTCCAGGATGGTTTGTGTGTGACGTTCGATATGCATACTTACCGATTAAAATCAAGAAATAGAAATAGTAAAACAAACACAAAAACTCTTCAGACTTATATTTACTATTGGGCTAGTCATAGCTCACCTACTTTTAAACTCAAGTTATTTTAACAAAGTCTAAGTTCTTCTCTACAATATGATAAAACTTATCATTAAAGGTAAACAATCCTTTAATAGCATAAATGGTAGTATCCACCTCACTGGCAGTTCTTACCGTTTATGGTTTGGTCAACTATTCAATGCCATTTGCAAAAAAAAAATTCTTTCTGAAAAGTCAAATATCATAGCTTACATTCACACAAACCGAATACATAAATACCTATCCGTAAGAACCAAACGGTCGAAATTTCCTCGCTTCTTTCTGCTAGTCCCGAACTCTCAGGAGAGATCTTCACCAAAGCAACTTGCGTCCATTGGAGGTAAAATCTTGGCTAGGCTCGGCCCTAGCCACTTGGCTGAGAAAATAAGTGCTGGGTTATGTGACAGAGAGACACACACAGAGGAACAGTGTCATATACATGCAGTTTAAGGAGGTTCACGGGAAACAACGAAACTCTGAGAAGGTGCAGTGTGTTTCTTCTAAGCTGTACGGCCCCAGGACAAAACACACATGAAGACACCTCCACGGGTCTTGCACGGGCCAGTAGGCACTTCAGCTAAGCTAAGAAGAAGGAGAGCACTCGTTGTGCTTTTAACATCAACGACTCATTGAAAACGCTGTCGATGTACAACTGTCACATGATAAACGAGTCAGTGGATTGTACTTAGAACATTCAGATTCAGGGTTGCAAAAACGAATGTAGAGAGACAAAAGTCTGCCTAATTTTTTAATGCTGACTTTTGTAATGAGGACAGAAAAAAAAGACATTTACAAGAAAAAAGGCCAAAAATTCCAGGGTAGCAAAGTCATTGCATTTTATTAGATTCCAAAATTATTGTTACTTTGATGCAAACCTCCTTAATTTACAAATGCGGCTCGTATTTTAAAATATTACACATGTACATGTGTAGCGTTTGCTCCCCACTAGTTTTGGAAGCCCTAACTCAAAGCATGTACAGAACGATATGGGAAACTGCATAAAGAGCTCAGATTTCATCGCTTACCAAACTTTAATAATAAATGTCACAAGTAACACTTTGGAAAAGCAAGCTGCCTGACAACTCAGGCAGCGGCGATTCAGCAGAAACTCGGATGCCAAAGCGTGCTTGAGCAGAGCGTGGGGCCGTCAGGTCCAGACCTGATCTGGCAACCCTCCCTTCACGAGTCCTTGATGTCTAGAGCTAACTCCAAACGGAAACGTCAGGGACGCAAAAAGGCCTATGTGGTCATTAATATGTCCATTCTGGCCAGCTCAGAGGTCATCCCTACAGTCACGTTCCAAGGTTCTGTAGAATCCAGTTTTAATTGTCTCAAACGATGGGCTTCCTTCACTTGGAGAGACTATTCCAGTTTAATGGTTGGCCCCGGTTAGCTTTTCGGTCCGGGCCCCAGACAGAGAGGTGGAGTTGCCAAACCGGCAGGAAACCCAACCAACCAACCAACCAACAAAACATCCCAGGAGGGGGAGAAGAGGGGAACTGAAAACATAAGAGGGGCGGGGAGCAAACAACCTACATCATGTAACCTCATCCTTTTCAAATCAAACACCTTTAGAAACCCCCGGTGGCCGGGCCCCTCTGCCCCGAGCGGCTGATGGCCCTGCAGGGCGACTTCCTAAAGCAGGTCTGATTTGAAAAGCACCCCAGTGCCACCCTTCAGAGACCGTGAAGCCCGCCCTAAGCACGCTGGCCGCCTGAGCGCAAAGCCGGCGTCTGTCCGCACGAGCCAACGGGCCTCCACGCCACGGGCCTGTCAAACTCAGGCGGGTTCCACAGGGTGGGGGAGGAGGGCACGAGGGGATCAAATGTCATGCCGGCCAAATACGGGCGCTCCGAAGAGGAGGGCGCTGGGGGCATGCAAGGGTCAAGGCCAACTCACGGGGTCCAAGGGGGTTTCTAAGCGCGCGGCGCCCCGGGAGCCGGCAGCTTCCGCCGCGCGCGGGGGCCACCTGGAACCCGGCGACAGGGTGCGGGCCGCGAGGGGCTGCGGGAGCAGACGGTCCCTCCGGCGACAGGCGCGGCACGCGACTCCAGCCAGCGCCTTAGGGCAGGTTTCACTGTCCCCCTCCTCCCAAAAGCAAGGAAAGCGGGGGTCCCCCCGGGTCCCCGCTGGCTCCAGAAAGCCCCCTTTCAGTCCTGGCCATCAAGTCAACATCAGATGAAATCGAGCGGGCGCGGGAAAAGGAGGCGCGACGGGCGAGGGGAGGAACCGACCTGTCGATGAGGATCTTGTGGTCCCCCATCCAGGGGATGAGGTGCTGTCCCTGCTCCTGGGCCAGGGCCCGCTCGTCGTCCCGGAACAGCTTGCAGGCATAGCCGAAGACCAGCAGCTCCACTCGGTTCCCCCCACCGCCGGCTCCGCCGGGCCCGGCCTCCTCCTTGGCGCCACTTTTCCTCTCGGTTTTGGCGCGGCCTCCGCTCGCGCCGTACATGACAGCGTCCCCGGCGTCCAGGCTGGTCCTGGCGTGCGCCGCGCGGATGTCCCCGATGCTTCCGCCTGGCCTACCCCCTCAGTCACAAGCGCCGCATCCCGGCCCCAACCTCGGCACTGCCGCCATAGCGGGCAACAAAATGGAGGAAGCGCGACTTCCGGCGGAGGGGCAGCCCCACTTCCGGCGAGGAGCTTCCGCAGATTCGCCACGCCTCGGAGCCGTGTGAGCCGCTGGGAAACAGCTGGGCTCCAGCCTCCCGCTTTCGGAGGCGCCGCCACGGTGGGCGCTTTCGTGTTCGCGGGGCGGCGCGCTTTTAGTGTCGGTTTTCTGAGGCGGCCGGCCGGGGCAGTGGCGAAAGCGCGCCGCCGAATCGCACGCCGCCGCCGGCACCTGGCCGGGCAGGCGCCGGGCGGAAGGAGGGCGGGCGCTGCGTGGGCTCCGAGCGCGGCTCTGTAGGGCTGCGTGCGCGCTGGAGGGCCGGGCCTGGGGAGCCGGGGGCCGTGGGACTTGCACCCGCGGGGCTCTGGACCCGGGGCGCCTGTGGGACTGAAGGGCCGGGGGGACTTGGGGCCAGGATGCTGGGGGGCGGGCGGGGGAGACTGCGGGGCGGGGGACCTGGGGGCCGCTGCCACCGAGGGGGGCGTGCTGTGTCTGCGGCTACTTGATGCGCCTGTGTTGGTTGCTGGCAGGCACGTGCGGCCTGCTGGGCTCCCCTTGACCTGCCCCTCCGGTTCAGGGAGCGGGGTAAGGCCCAGCGCGCCTTGGTGCTGCTGCCTTCCCCTCCGCGGCGTCTGGAAGAACCACGCTCACGCCCCGAGCACATGGCCCCTTGCGCCTGCCGAGGCCCCAGGGGAGGTTACGGAGCGTGTTTTCGAGGAGCAGTAAGTGCACTTCAGTGTGGCCTGCAGGACGTGACAGGAGGGAGTGGTGGCAAGAACAACGTGGGCGCAGTCCTCCGGGGCTCGTGAAATCGCCGTCGAGGCTCATCCGAGCAGGAAATCATGAAAGGAAGAGAAGCTATCCCGGGTGGCGCTTTGCGTTTCCAGGTGCCTGTTAAGCGTTAGCGTGTCAAGTTCTTCCCCAAAGCTTTCTCGTCTTTCGATGGGGACTGCCTGGGGACGGTCGATATCTTTGTAACATTTGCGAATTGTGAATTGGTTCGGCCACTGTTTTCGATTTGCTTCATTTGCTGGTCTGTGCATTGGAAAACGCGGCACCTAGTGAAGTGCAACATCGTTCCCCAGTACCCAGCATGCCCCTTGTCCATGGGGTTCCCTGTGGGCGCCCTAGTGTGAGCCCAAGGGCAGTGGGTCCTGGACACAAGTGTTTACAGCGTCGGTTAACTGAAAGCCCCGGCCTGGAAACAGCCCAAGTGCCTGTCAGCAGCCGGCCGAGGGAAAAAAAAAACCTCAATAGCACCTGTACTCGCGTGGGATAGAATGCAGTGGGAATGCGTGGGCTGCAGCTACATAGGAGCAGCCATGAATCTTGCAACAATTTTGAACAAAGGATGTGAGACAAGTGCAAAGTCCTATTTGCTCTTATGGTTCCAATCACCAAATTCAAACGGGCAAAACTAAGCTATAATGTTTAGGGGTGCACACGTAGGTGGTAAAAGTCGAAAGAGAAGCAAAGCAATGTTAATATGAGAGGTGATTACCTGGGGTGGGGGTGGAGGGAGGCAGGGTTAGAATCAGGAAAGGCCACCTAAGGGTCCAGTCTAGGGTGCTGCAAACATTGTTCAGCTGGGGGGTAGTGAACGCGATGTCCATAACTGCCCAGTGCATTTTTCTGCAATGTTTTTAAAAAGCATAAGAAAAGGGCATCTCAGGTGTAAGTTGTTGCTCTTTTAAGATGTTTTTATTTCAGCTACGCACATGCACGTGGTCGTAATGTAAAATAGTGCTTATTGTGGATCGCGGTAAAAGTCGTTGGAAAGATGCTTACATTATCTGGAAGATTCCTTCCGGTTCTGTGACTTGGAATGGCCAGTAGCTTACACTAGTATTCTTCCCACACTGGAATACATGCCTTTTAACGCACCTGGAGTGTTAAAGTGGGGGTGGATTTTAGGCAGTAGCGATGGGTAGGACGGCCAGCCTTTCCCATTGTTGTGTGATGTTGACTCAGTCCAGCCAAACAAGCTCTTTGACCTCCAGTTACTTCATCACGTGGGGCTAAGAACCTAGGTAGGTCCCCGCCGTGAATGCTCGTTATGACTGTCTGTCTTGGGGGAGCCCGCAGACCAAATGCCTCTGTCCTAACATCACACTGGCAGGCAGAGGCTGTGAAGAGAAGACTCATTCTTGGTAGTAAATAGTCACAGAAATGGGCCTATGCGGTCTAGATTTCCAGGTCAGTCTATGTTCTTGCAATTTTTCTTTTCAACTAAATGTGATTTTTATACATTTGCAAGAGGTTCTACCAATAATGCAGTACATCAGGGGAATAAAGCCTATGTTGGACCACAGCCCCCAGTTTGTGTTGAGGGATATGAAAAAGCCTATCAGTCAACACATCTTGCCTGAGCACCTACTGTGTGTCAGGCACTTGACTGCACCTCACAGGACTGAACTCCTGGGTGACAGAAAATACATGTTTGTATCCCCAGGTCAATAAAAATGAATGATAACGCCTTGTCTACTGGTTGAGGATTTCGTTGGATGGCAAAGAACATGGTGGCCCCTAAGGAGATAGAGTGGAGAGTACCATGTTTTTAGTGAGATGCATCGTCTCCTTAAATAAAATACCCTCTTCCTAGCAAGGGAAGGATGGGGGTTTGGTGGGCCAACTAGCGATAGCAGCTACGTTTTACATTTTCCTATTGATACCTAATCAAATGGGGGGAAGACATGTAAACAATTCCTGTGGAGGGGCATAAAATCTGTCTACCCGTCTGAAAATGTTGAATTTAAAAATAACCACTCAATGCAGTTCCAGTCCTTATGGTGGAGCAGGTAAACACTGCTCGCCTCCTCCCATGACCACATCAATTACAACTAAGCTACAGACCAACTGTCACTGAGAATCATCTGAAGTCTAGCTAAATAGAAGTCCTGCAACTAAGGACGTACTAAGGGCATAACAGAAGAAGCCACACCAAGACTGGCAGGAGGGGCAGAGGCATGAAATGGGCTGGTCCCACGCCCATATGTGATTGTTAAAAATTGGAAAGGTATCTCGGTTGCAGAGGTCCCCGCTGAGGAGTGAGGTGTGTGGATGGGGGGTCCCAGCTCCACATCAGGCCCCCCAGCCCAGGGGGTCCAGTGTTGGGGAGAGTAGTCCCCATAACTTCTGGCTGTGAAAACCAGCAGAGAGTGTGGCTCAGTGAGACAGGGCAACTACAGCCCCAGGTGCTCCTCTTAAAGGGCCTTGGCATCGACTGACTCGCTGATGGACTCACTCACTCAGCTCCAGCGCTGGGGCAGCAGCTCGAAAGGCACCAGGGACATACGGGGAGGAACTGAGTCATCTACCTTCAGGCTGAGGGCTGGAGGGCAGCTTTCTCCCGGACGGAGGAGCTGGTAGAAGCCATCGAGCCCTCCCCATCCCTGTGTGCAGACGCAGGTGGGCGTCTTATCTGAGTCTCCATCAACCTGGTCGGCACCTTTCACTCTGGCGTGCTGATTTCCCCTCCCCCACCCAACTTGCAGGCCCACCCAGACTATTTCTAGTGGCTTTTCCATACAAATGGTCTGTTTTGGTTCGTGCTGCAGACTTTCCTAAAATCTTTCAAAGGTTCATAAAACCCAAACAAATAGCATCTGGCCTTGGTGTGCCCTGTACCTCTTGCTAAGCAGCCCCATGCCCTGCACTAATAGCAGCTGGACTCGGTTCGCAGCTTAGCCTGTTCCAGGCACCTCCAAGCCCAGCACAAGTGGCAGCCATCTGCAGATCACTTTGTAGTTCATACCAAGTGGCCCTGGAGAGGGCACAGGCAGTGGCTGACGTTTGCCTGCACCAGAGCCCCTCCCAAGGGACCCCAGAACCAACACCTGGTGGCCAGCTTCAGATGACACCGGAGCACCGTCCAACCACCTCCACAAACGTCACACCCAAAAGCAGACTAGGCAGGTACCAGAGCCCTGCTGAAGCAAACCGTACTCTGTAGGGTCAGCTCCTGTATAACATGTTTTCCACTGTAGTCAGTCAGTCCTCACAGCCAATCAGCCTGAAGGTCAGTCCCTCCCACTGATGTGCAAACAGCAATCTAGGCTCAACTACAACAGGAGGGCACACACAACACACACAAGGGACACACCTGGAACACCAGGCTCAGGTGACCAGGGAGACTACCACTGGGTCCCACAGGACACTTACTACATAAGACCACTCTACCAAAACTGGGAAACATAGCAGCCCTGTTTAATACATAGAAACAAACACAGGGAGACAGCCGGAATGGGGAGACAAAGAAACATTTCCCAAATAAAAGATCAGAACAAAGTTCCAGAAAAAGAACCAAACAAAATAGAGACAAGCAATCTACCAGATGGAGAGTTTAAAACCCTGGTCATAAGGATGCTCAATGATCTCAGGGAGAAGTTCAACAGAGACTTAGAAAAGATAAAAAGAACCAGTCAGGAACGAAGAATACAATAATTGAAATGAAGAATACATTAGAGGGAATCAACAGTAGATTAGATGAAGCATAAGATCAAATCGGCGATTTGGAAAATAAGGTAGCAGAAAACACCCAATCAGAATAGCAAAAAGAAAAAAGAATTCAAAAAAATGAGGAGAGTTTAAGGGGCCTCTGGGACAAATCAAGCATACCAACATTCGCATTATAGGAGTACCAGAAGGAGAAGAAAGAGAAAGTAAGGAATTGAAAACCTATTTGAAGAAATAATGACAGAAAACTTCCCTAACCTGG